TGATGATCGGACAGCATGGGACGTTTTAAAGGATGGAACTGTGTTTGTGCTACATAAATGTATGTGTATATTTTGCTCACATTTTACCTTAATTCTTTATAACTTTTTCTTTCTTTCAGATGTGCCAGGAGAATTCGACATTTCCTCAATCATGGACGATATAAAAAAGAAGACAAAAAAGAAAAAAAAGAAAAGGCGTCATTGACTTTGGTGGAAAATACCTTTGGTTTTACAATTAACATGATAATTCATTTTGCGATAGTCTATGTAGTAAAGATATATCTGGAACTTTCAAGCTAATAAAGTTCGGGCTACCAGAAAGACAAAATAGAAATTGTGTATGCATAGAATTTTGTTTCCAACAATAGATTTTATTGCTTAATCATTGAGCATTTAAAGTTTTAAGTTTACTCAATAAGACCCAATTCTCGAAGATGTTCCAGAATAACTATATATGGGTCTTCGTAGTACCAAACATACCTTAAAGCAATCCAATTCTCTTCGCATAATTCTTTCTTGAGTTGATCAACTTATACTTCATTCATATAATACACAAAGTGCACAAATACAGTCTAATATATCCAGCCATGAAGTGACTACCTCTGACAATAATTCATCTAGTATAAATGATGCAATTCACTCTGAAGTTTCACCAGATAAATCAGCAGAGATGGCATGACCAAAGATTCAAAGTTCTACTCAGTAAAAAAAAGTGTCTAATAATACATCTAGACTCGGAGAGTTATTGCTTTGCAATAGAAGGAAGATCGATCTTGAAAAATTAATAAAAGATACTGAAAAACTAACATTTAAGTATCCACCTTTGTCTTAGTAAGTTGAAAACATCTTTCTGCAAGAATCTTATTTGCTTTTAAAGCCATATCAAGTCACTCTTCAGTCTTTATGAGTCACTTTTCAAGTTCATCACACTTTTTTTTAAGTCTTTCTCATTAGTTGAGTTAGATGAGATGATAAATACTTGAGACAATGAATCTTGCTTCTCTTTTGGTGAATCTAATACTTTTGAAGTCTTGTTAAAAGTTGGGATAATATAAAACTTATCATGTAATTTCATTCAGAATTGGTTTTTATTTGAGTTAAGAATACCTTGTACTTTTCAAATTCATATTATATCTAAATATAAGATTGATTCAGGTTCACCATTATCAATACGTGTAAAATTTTCAATAGCTGTAATAGTTTTATTATTCTTATCCTTTATACTGATTGGCATATCTGTAAACTATTCTAATAATTCAGTAATATGTTTAGAGTTATCTTTTATATCAAAGTTGAATGATTTGTCAGCTTTTCATCCCAAAGTATTAATTGTTGCATTATTTAAGACTTCAAATTCACTTTCAGGATTTAAAAAAGAATTAGAAATTGTTAAATCATTTATTTTAACATTCAGATATTGTAAAAATAAAAACTACTCATCTGATTTTGATTCTTTTTTCTGAACTATATAAGATTGATATATTTTTCTCATTGCTGATGAAAGCTTAGATAATAATTGATCATATATTTCAGGATAATTACCTATTATATCAGATAAGTTTTTATTTACTTATTTTTTTTCAGAATCATCATCATATTATATATTATTTTTAAAAATAATCTTTTAAATTATTTTTGAAAAAATAATATTTTGACAAATAATTCAGTTTTGTTATATTATTTATATTAATGAATACTTAAAAATCACCTAGAAATACTTGTTTTGATTTGTAGAATTCAAATAATTTCAGAAAATAATTTTGGTTACTAATAAAATAAATCAAAATAATTTTGAATTTAATTTCAGCAAGTTAATTTTGACAAATTATTAATTAGATAATGTTATTTCAGTAACTATTTTCTTCATTATATTCATTATTTTTTCATTAGCTAAAAAGCTATAATTTATTGATTAAAAGTGATAATATTATTGTATTTGATTTGATTTGACTACTGGTTTTTTGAATTGATTATTTATATTAAAATGAGATAACATATATTCAATTTTATCTACTTTCTCCTCTAATCTAATAGAGTTATCTTTTTGTTGTGAACGAGATCTTTGAAAAGATTCTATAGAATAATTTGAATTCAAATCTTCATTATTATATAAACATAAATCATTAAAGTATTTAGCTAAATAATAATTTTGATAATTTTCTTCTTTTTTAAATTTGATGATGGATCTTTTAGTTGTCTAGTTGATTTAACAATTTGTGAAACTAGTGTTTGTTCTTTTTGAGCAATTGGTTGCTAAGTTATTTGTATTTGAAATTCAGCTTTCAATTTTTCTATCTCAGCTTTATGTTTAGTATCCTGTTTATCAAACATAGCTTGAAATAATTTTTGCATTTCATTATATGAGAGGAATACTGAATGTAGTGTTCCTATGAACTGAACCGAACCGGACTTTGGCTTGAGTTCAAGAAAGGTTCGAAGTTTGAACTGAACTCGAACTGAACCATTATACAAGTTCGAGTCTGGTTCGAGTTCGATTAAAGATCGACATATAGTATTATATACCGATTTGTAGCTCTAAATATAAGCTACAACTTTATTTATAAGTATAATTTATAGTATTTAGTAAGAATTAAAAGTTTACATAGTGATAACTAAAGTGTTTTTATTTTTACGTTTATTAA